CATTACAATATTTTATGTATATATTTGCTATATAGTGTCATTGAATATGGAGCAAACTTTGATTTATTAAACAATGATTTGTATTAAAAAAAGAAATGGAAAGGAGTTGCATTACAAACAACATTCTTAATGCTAAATATTTTTCAAACTGGCTTTAAGGTGAAACACTTTATGACACCATTGATGAAATGCATCAATGGCCAGATCAGAGAAAATATCAATTAGATCCGTAGGCTGTCCCAATTCATAGGCATGCGGCCGACAAAACCCTAAAAACGTAGGCAGCATTKGAGTAACATACGCAGCCAGAATTCATTGCGCCCTCAGCAAGTTAAACAGAAGAACAAAGATGGCAAAGTTTTTATTTTTTATGGTGGAGTTTGGATATTCATCACAGACCGAAGAACGTAAGTTAAGCAACTTAAATGAAATATTTGTTGCAATGTTAAATAAAAATGCAGTTACAAATACTGATACTTGAGCTACACCCAAACTATTAATGTTTTTTATTGATTTATTTGTAACAGAAGCGATGTGATATAAAATGTATCACCATGGTAAAGAGGCAACGTGTGGTCCTGCAAACATAGGTCTTCTGTAGATCAGACCATCTCATTTCACAGCCGTTTATMCAGCCGATGAGCGGCCTACAGCCGATGTAGACTGTGGTCAACGTGGGCTGCAACCCATGAACTGAGACACAGCTATAGTCCTTCATGTACAGTATTCAGACTCTAACACATAATGTATGTTTTGACCTTTTTTCCCCACTGAAATACAGGGGTTAGACAATGAAASTGAAACACCTGGTTTTAGACCATRACATCCCTTTCAGACAGCTTCCTCTTGYGTCCACAGTTAATCCTGTTGGATGTGGTTGGTCCTTCTTGGCGGTATGCTGACATTACCCTGGATACYGTGGCTCTTGATACRTCACAAAGACTTGCTGTCTTGGTCACAGATGCACCAGCAAGACGTGCACCAACAATTTGTCCTGTTTTGAATTCTGGTATGTCACCCATAATGTCATGTGCATTGCAATATTTTGAGCCAAACTGTGCTCTTACCCTGATAATTGAACCTTCGCACTCTGCTCTTACTGGTGCAATGTGCAGTTAATGAAGACTGGCCACCAGGGAAACCTCCCACACTAAATTGACAGGTGTTTCAATTTCACWGTCAAACTCCTGTAGCATGAAAGACAAGTATTTCAATCTAGAACCAAAACTTGTTTAATTTTGCTGTGTCTTTAGTTTGTTAAAATAATCCAATGCATTCTCACTCCCAACTCATAAACATATTGATGCTTGCTCAGGTAGCCTTTTGCGTCCAGTTTTGATGCGTCGGGTACCCCCCGCGTGTCAGTTTTTTACGAGATGAGGCGGAGGAGGACGAGCGCGTTGTCAAAAAAAATTTTAAGGGTAGGAAATGCACGAAACTAACCATCCCAGACCCCAAATTTAACTTCTATTAGCCCTATACAGCCTATCCCTGACCTCAGTCCCTAAAATTAACCATTAATCCTGATCCCTCATATTAACCTCAGACCCCCAACCCAAAGACCCCTAAGTGTCGCAACCCGGAAAAGCCGCGGGCGGCAAAGACTGAAGCGCGGGGGTACCCGACTCGTCAAAACTGGACGCAGACGGTCCCTGMCCAAGCGTCAATATGTTGACGAGTCGGGAGTGAGAACGTGTTAAATAATCGGTTCACCTCAACACCCCCTTTCTGAACTGCATAACCGCTCCGTGATGAGGAAGACCACCTCAATCACAGAGGACCCTTCTCATCCCCTCCATCACAAATTCCACCTGATTCCGTCAGACAGAAGSTAAGTTCCTCTGGCCCGGAAAGCAATGTACAAAAAGTCATTTATTCCTCTTGCAATATCTGAATAATTTTAAATAAGAACTGTATTGTAATTTATTTGAACAGTTGCTTTTAACAGTCCCTTTTATGTGTTTTTATGTGTATTTTGAGTGTTTTTATGCAAGTACGCTGTTATTGGAGCCCTGTCAAAAGAAACATTTCTGTCACCACCTGGGACAGTCAATAAAGTTATTCTATTCTATTCTATTCTATTCTATTCTATTCAATTCTATTCAATTCTATTCTATTCTATTCTATTTAGCTTTTTAGTCTTGTAGGTTAAAATAAAAGAGTTTAAATGAAACAAAGTACAGTTACTGGTCTGACAAAACACAGTGGGGCAGATAAAAGACCAAAAAATAAAAAATRAAAAAGGAGAGTTGGCTRCAAAAAAATTAAGSTTTATAACTTACATTTACGAGAAAACACATCAACACTGCAAAAACCTCCATGCATAAAAAGAACACTGAACGTATTTGGCACCAAGTTGAGAACATATGTGCAGCGGAAATTTTGCATTTGTAAATGAGAGTRTAATGAGCATGAGTTAGCAGGCAGCAGCAGGTTCCTGCCATGGGGCAGAGCCCCTTTCCAGGATTGATTGTGCATATTTGTATAGAAAAATTAGTGGGGGGAAATATGTATGCATCAAGATCTAATAAYATTTCACCTTTTTAAAAGTTGTCCTGATTAAAGATTCATGGGCTGCTGTGTTTGTCTTTGGCCGGAAAACTTTGTTTCCTAAATTCCCCGCATGAAAGCAATGACATGTTAAAAGCCCAACTAACTCATAAAATAAAAATAAAACCCATCAGATATAAACTACTTGACGGGGTTCCTCTCTTCTACCTCGCTGCACAGTGCGCCAAAGGGACACATTATGATAATAGACTATTGGATTCCCTGTTAGCTATTAGTGGTAGCATGCTAATCACCCCCACTCACATCTAAGTAATTCAATTACAATTTAATTCAGACGAGCACATAAACAACATCAGCTTTAACAGTATTCTGGTGGARCCGAACGTAGTTAGAGCCTCGCTGAAAGTGTTTGAGTAAACACTCGGGATTGTTTTTCAAAGTTTTCTGTGCAAACATCAGAGATATTTAAACATATTTTAATTTATTCCAGGGGGTGATATTATATCATAAATCAGGCAAAATCTTTTGTTGTTATACTTAAAAGAGCTTTTTTTTTAACTACAAAAGCCTGCTTGGTTAGTCATGTGTTGGTTATAAACAGAAAGCTGTGAACAAAATGCTCGACAGTGTGGTTCCCACTGGGATACTGAACAACAGGAGACAACAGTCTGTCCTAAAAAGCTTAATGCTCACTGCGGAAACAGGCAGCTCAGCTTGCAAGACATTCAAATTTGTTTCTGATATAAATCAGCTTAAAATTCGCAGCTACAACTGTACCACCTCTCATTTCTGAGGGACACAATAAAAAGGAGAAACCAAATGTAATAACACTCTTTTAGTCGTTTTAAATGTTTAGGATGTGATAAAGAATAATCTGGTGTTTACAGTGTCTTTAAATGAGATGGTTACAGAACAGCAACACACTGCGGTGTGAAATTTCTGCACTTTATTTTACAACCTGCAGGTTTTTGGAATCGGTTTCGGTGGAAGCTGTGGGAGTATATATATGTGTCTTTTCCAACATCAAGAGAAAGAAATCTTGGCTCAGTGTGCAAAGCTTGATTTCATACCAGATAGACAGCCAAGGAGGATAAAAATACATAAATAAATAAAAATAAAAAAAAACCCGAGGCCATAGTTAATGTCTTAATGTTTAAAAATCCATCCATTAATAAAAAAGCAACACTTTGTGCAGGAATTTGATGAAAAAACAAAGAGTAAAGCAGACTCTGCTCCAGGGCTGGACTCGACTCAAACACATCCATCTAATGGATTATTCTGGTAATTTTAATTTTAAATGTCAGTAATCTGTATCTGATTATGTTGTGACTTGAACCTTCCGTTATAAGTGACTGTGTTTGACTTGAGGTCAAAGACCTCTAACCATCCTGACGAAACACTGGACACTTAATAGACGAAGGAGAGGGAAAGGGCACAGCTCACTCACCTTCTAAAGGACGATTCACTAAACTTTCTTTAGGTAMAGACTAGAACAGAACAAACAGTTAGGCACACACAGTCAGCAGAAACAAAAGACAGAAACTCAGTTAACCACATAGAAATGCACAGACGGGCACAACACGATCTAAACTTGTGTAATGCACACATATACGCACACGTACACACTCGCSTTCACAGTTTTTTTTCCTTCCACCAGTCAGTGACTTTAATGTTTCTGGAGCAAAGAATCCAATCAGACTCCGGTCTAACATGTCGGCCACTGAGCCGTGGTGACCACGCTTGTGTGCACAGCCTCGCCCACACGTGCGCTGTTGTCCACAAATCTCAGTTCACCAGGTGTGCTGGCAGGAATAT